TCAGTGACTGTCAATGTGACTTGCACAGCTTGTCGTGCATCAGTGACTGTCAATGTGACTTGCACAGCTTGCCGTGCCTCAGTGACTGTCAATGTGACTTGCACAGCTTGTCGTGCCTCAGTGACTGTCAATGTGACTTGCACAGCTTGTCGTGCATCAGTGACTGTCAATGTGACTTGCACAGCTTGTCGTGCCTCAGTGACTGTCAATGTCGGCTGTCCCGCCCTGCGTCTTGCTCCTCTTTTTAACGAGTTGTTAACATATTTATTTTATTTTACTTTTAGGGAATAAGATCGGAGAAACTGGAGTAGAAGCTTTCCTTATTGCCATCCAACGACAGATCGAACTTGTATCAATGTTGAATAAACCAACTGGTGTAATGACACTAACATTATCGGTAAATAATGCCTTACTGTTATCGTTTGTCTGTCTGTCTGCTTCATGCATCTCGTTTCTATCTTTAGAGAAACTCATTTTCACCCARTAACGGTTCTTATCAGCGTCTAATGGAAATCATGCAAACTCGTGATCCTAATTACAAGCCACCAGAGCAAATCGATGACACTATTACTACTATTAAGGTAAATAAACATYATTCACTAAAAACGAACTAATAACTTCGTCTATTCCTTGGTGATAACACTGAAATAGGACGATAATGATGATAACATCATGTTTTTACTGTAGGAGGATCCTTGATGTACAAAGACGGTCAAGTACAGAATTGTAAATATTGTAAAATACAATAAATAGTGTGAATCACGAACATCTTGTCATTAGATCATTAATATGCTTATGACTATGTCTTATGACGTTTAACTTCACTTTTTGTCTTTACTTTGATTGTGTTTATGCTTGTGTCGTACTAGCACTCTAGGTGCCTCTAGGTGGTAGGGCTAACTCTTGACAAAAGACTTGGTCCTTCTATGGTTAACACTTAAAGTTCGCACTTTAATCTATTGACACCACGAAGTGTAGTGCACTACGAGTTGATAGTCCGTACTTTAGTATCCAGCAAACTACAGGACAAAGAAAAACACTTCCTAGTTTTTGAGCTTATGCGTATGTTGCAGTGTGAACCGGGGTGTATTAGGCCRTTTCAGACTTCGATCTTTTGCCGAGTCTAATCTAATTGGTGGAGTTGAGTTTATGAGCATTTTGTACTCTGAATTTATTAACATTAGTAGATTTTGTTCAGTTGGACAAACTTACTATAATCTGTAAATATCAATCGATGTACACTGYAAAAGTCTTGAGAACTGCATGTAAGCAATTAGATTAGACGCGGCAAAAGATCGACTTCTGAATCGGGCCTTAGTGAAATATCCCGAAATATCTATTTCAACGACCTGGTGGGCTGGCCCGGTTGATCGGGCCGACTTTTGTTTTTTGAAAAAAGCAAAAAGGTCTAAAATATCACTATAGCCTTGAGTAGATCTACAAATTTCAGAGCCTTCCTTGAGGTACTATACGCCGAACTTCACATGTACCGCTGCCTGCGAGGCGTGAACATCAATTAAAATTAAGTGCAACTTTAGTCAAATATGTCATTAATTGTTAATACCGATTGTCATAATTTTTGTCCATTCTTTGGCTGCGATATAACCTGGCGACAGACTGCCTAGCGGAAAGAAGTCTTGCTTACCTCCTGGACCGGCACAAAAAAAAAGAACAGGTTTAACGATAACAAGGGTTTCGAGAGCAGACGTAGTAGCCAATAGTAACCAAGGCGTTTTTTCTGAAGAAGTAAATACTAGTAAATTTAACTAAAAATATCAATGATGATTTTCGTGTGTGGCTAATTCCTCAACAATATTATTTCATCAGTACAATATCCAGTAAGTATCACTTGGTCCGTTTAGTGTATATTTGAATCAATATTGAATTGGAGAGCAACTGTATAACAGTTTCCGTTGCTCTCAAAGGCTTATAGTGAAGTGTCATCTGTATTGCTGTTCGGCTTGTCGCTACCACACCTGCCGAAAAACGTTAAGACAATCATTCCAAAAATACGACAGTTTTTAATTTAACTYGCGTTCATTGTTCATTTTTACGGATCATGTCGAGGTTGTTGATTTTTTWTGTTAATGYATTCTAGACCAAGTTCATTTTCACAATTTTCAGAGGTTTTGATCAACCRTATATGTATACATAACGAAGAGCATCCAAAAAACCACCCACTTATTAGGCCAGGTTCAAATGCCCGACTTCGTTGAAATTCAACTTGAATTTGCTACGGCAAGACGACGGTCTATTATCTTCTAAAGAGATAATTTAAACTTCATGAAATACTGCATTGTAATTTTCTTTACATTTTTGGCCTCGGGGTGTTTTTTTTGTTCTTGTTCTTTTCTTCTTATTTTTTTAAATATTTAATGAGTTGAAAACTTCCGCTGTCTCAGCACTGCTACCTTTAGTATTTGATATAACTCCAAAAAAAGGAGTTTAAAAGATGAACCAGATARCTCCTATGGAACAGATTTAACTCCACCAATTTTAACTGCACCTGGGGGAGTAATTTGGCCCCAATACTAAGAGCAATTTTAAGCCCCCTTTTTGGAGTAATGACTCTCTCTCCGAGTTGATTTGAACCTCGAGTAAAAACTACTCGCATTGTAGAGTAGATTTCACTCTGTTAAAATTTACTCCACTCTGCACTCGTCGAACGCTCATATTCGAAAATCTTGTAAACTGGTGTAATGACTTCCTTTGCGATACCCGTGTAATTCGTATGGGATACATGTGGACGGTCGTATATGGGTCAATATATGCTACATGTGGGTGGAAATATTTTTGTACTAAAAACAATTCCAGAAAGAAAATCCTCTGTAGACTCGTGTGGACTGGTTATGAGTGTTTTGCTCTGATGGCAGAATTGTCAAATCGTGTTCCCATATGTGGTCAGTATACTTCATGTAAGACTTTAATACCATATTTTACAGCGTCTTTTGAGTAAAGTCACAACTTTCAGGAATTACCAACATAATGCTGTATAATTGTTTATTACTTACATTTCCTTTATTTTTGTAAATATTTGTGAATTTTGATAAACGTAGTCATAAAGATGGATGGCAATGAAATTATTTCTTATGCCGTTGCAATTTTKTTGTTAACGATTTCAGTTGCCAATAGAAAAAAACACTYTAAATGTCAGCATATAGTTTCCTATTAGACTCTTATTGAAACCTTTTTATGAAAAAATGTTTGAATGAAAGGTTTTCTAGAAGCAATCCAGCGTTAATTCATTTCTTTTCTTGCATTAGTTCTTGACTAATGCACAGTGCTTCAAGGTAATGACGTTCAGTATTCATAGCCAATACTTTACTAAAGTACTTTGAGAAGATCGGAAACATTGCACGAAAGGGTCTTTTGTTCTTGACTATCAATGGTGTTCTTTATATGGTCAAGTAGCATCAAGTACGAGAAAAACTCTGTCAAAACGAAAGACTGATTTCACTTGGAGGTGCAGTGCTTGTGTTTGGCGATTGAACGATGCACTTCCCCATCGTCTTATTTTTCATCGTTCTTCAACATTTCTCAGGTGATATGGGATTTTTTTCGGGGTGAAATTAACTGTTTTGTGAAATCATCGCTAAAATAATTGTAGAAACATCTATAAGTTGAATCTAATAGTCCCTTTTGCGGTTAGAAAACAAGTTGCGCGAGGAGCCTCTGTGATTTTGTACCAAAGAGAGCTAGAATTAAGCAACCCGAAAATGTTCTCTTTTGAGCTTGTTTATCTTTTTGCAATGTCAGTAAAATATTTTTTTGGTGAAAAAAGTCGTCATGATTTTGACATGACTTGGCACTCTTGTTCATTCGAGAGCTACGACAAACATGTTGCCCGCCTTGGGTTTAACCGCGAAAAGGTCTATTGCTTGAAATTGTGGGATAAAAATTCCATTAATCAAATTTGCGCCTAGATCGGCATACATGAATTGAAGAGTGCTTATAAAACAAGTCTTGCTGCGCGCTTGAAGCTGGATTAGAATGGTGTGATTCTCATTTCGATTGATTTGTAAAAGGAAAAATGGATAAAGGCTTATTTTGTCATTGTAAGTCAGTTTTTCGATGTTGAATGATGAGTGCGAATTGCACATGCAATCGTTAATTGGTTGTATGTCGATATGTCGGTTAATACTGCTCTTACAAATCAACTCCTGAAACCATCATGAATACACCATCTCTAGTTRCAATGCGGATCGCTTGACTAGGAGCTGACACAAAACTGAGCTTTTCCCCTTACCCTCCCACCCTTGAGTGGAGATTGGAAGAAAAAGGAAAAGGGAGGTTGTAGCCGGTTCCCTGATGAACAGGCCTGCTGATGAAGGCTTTTAGTGAAGGGGAAGGAGAGAAGGCAAGGGGTGACACAAGCCAATGTAATGCATTGTAGAGTAGTAGGGGTTGTCATACGTATTCCATATATGGTATTAACTAACAAGCGTATAGCGGTCCCTAACAAGCGAATAGTGGTCCCTAACAAGCGAATAGTGGTCCCTAACAAGCGAATAGTGGTCCCTAACAAGCGTATAGCGGTCCCTAACAAGCGAA